AGCTATGATTACTGGCCTGTAGCTAATGGCTGCCCAATAGGTAGATTCCCAGATGTGGTATAACTACGCAGAATTTATTACAGTGTGTATGCCTTTAGAATGACAAGGCATCATGGGATTTGTGGTTCCACCACATCTGGGCATCTGAATTAATGTATCTGCTATAAGGCACTAATCACTGATGTAATTCCCATAACTTTGCTGAAAAAGTCAGCTCACTCTCAAACAGTAAAAAAAGTTTCAATGGATCATGTCATGCCTACTGTCAGGAAGAGGGGAGGAGTGAATGAATTCTACAATTTTTCTCGGTTAGCATTATATTAGCGTTTGAGATTTTGGTAAAAATCGCGATATCAATTTTAAAGAATTTTATTTTAGAAATATTGTATTGACATTTTTAGTAAGCTGTACTGCTAGTAATGCCTTCAATGTCCTTCCCTATGAGCAATTTGTTTGACCATTTTTATTTATCTATTGTGTCACATCTATTCTATGTAAGAAATTGCATTTTTGCTTTTAAACTAACATTTCAGATCCTGTATGAAATATTGCAAAATAAAGGACACTGTACACTAATGTTTTTTGTGAAGGCTCAACAAATAAGTGAAAAAAGTAACTTGTATAAATATATATAATTTTATTTTTTACATGTCTACAAAGCGACATATACACAAAATGGCCGTGTTTCAATATGTTTATGTGCGAGCTATGCATCACTTGCTTCAAATACATGTTGTGCTAGTACTTTTTCAACCAAATTGTGCTCGGCTAATGTGCCCAGGACACAATACATGCAAATGGATAAATTACAGTACAAACAGGTCATTTTCTCATGCAGTGAATGTAAAGGGTTATCATCTTATAATATTTGCATGCGTTTGGCCATCAGTTCACTTTGTCTGAGTCAATATTTGATGCAATTCTAACAGCGCACTTATAAGGCATTCGGCGAGGATGGGCACCGGATTAGCTGTAATGGCTACAAGTGGCCGGCCAGATGTTTTGGAACTTGATTTCGCATTGTACTTAGCGAGCCCTAATAAACATTTGAGGTGTCACGAAAAGCCCCTATTAGCCTTGACATTGGTCAGATGAGATTGCAGTCTTTACAATAGCATTTAACTCTTTGATTGCCGAAGTGTCGCTCACATAAGCACTTTCTACATCAGTAGAGGAATACATAGAGCTCATTTATTGTGTGAATTGTCATTATTTTGCCTTGCCAGTAACTCCTAATGACATGCAGTCAGTGTTTTCCCTATGATCTGCGATGGGGCCGAGGCTGTACTCCTAATTGGTACGGAAAGAGAAATAAAAAATGCAAAATTTGGGAAAAGCGAGAGACTGGTTTGAATTTAGGAAGGTGTAATTTGGAAGGTGACAGACAAAGAAGGAACGTGAGAAAATAAATTTGTATTCCAGTGAAAAGTAATGCTGTGTATCGCATCCTCTCTAGGTATCTTAAATTATTGTTGGATGAGGGTGGTCCTTGAGTGAATAAGAATTCTAATTTACAATAATCAACATAAAAGCCAGCCAGTCCCTTATTTTGTCCCTAATTTGTACATTAATCAACGCTGCAATTCTATAGGGAATGATGGTTTTAAAAGCAGGAGAAATTGGGGGTATTTAGATATCGTACGTTACAGGATGCGTGCAATATGCGCATTCTGGGGCTAAAAAGGAACTTGTGTTATATTTAATGAGTGTGTACTTTTACCAATATTATTTGTAGAAGTCACAGTGGGTTATTTTAGGACATGGGTCCTCAAACTCCGGCCCCCCAGATGTTGCTGAACTACAACTCCCATGATTCTCTGGCTATCTGTAATTCAAATTATCGTGGGAGTTGTAGTTCAGCAACATCTGGGGGCCCGGAGTTTGAGGACCCATGGTTTAGGACATATCATGTTGTTCCAACTTGATTGTGTTCAACATGTTTAATTAAAAATGTTTAAGGACAATAGATTTGACAGCAGTGTGTTTGTCTTGCAAATACATGTCTGTAAGTTCACTTATTGTACAGCGCTACGGAATTTGTTGGCACTTCATAAATTATATTAATACCATGGCTGCAATAGCAATTCCCAGTAACCACTTAACGGGACAGTACTGAAAAATATGAATATTATTATACTTCAGCTAATTTACAGCTAGGTCATTAAGTGGTGCTTTTGGTATATATTAGAGGAAGTTTGAATGGGTACTCGGGATTATGGGGGTGTATTCCAGTGTGTATATTCCATTATATCTGTGTTTTATACATTATTACAGCTAGCATATATTACAAAATTATACTGAAAATTATATACATTTAAAGTGTTATACATTAATGCAGCTAGCATTCTTTATATTTATAGAGTATATTTATAGAATGCATTATTATAGCTAGCATTTTTATATATATTGTTATATTTATATTATATATGTTTACATAGTTATAATACACTGTTACAGCTAACTATATATTTTACAGAGTTAGAATGTAATGTGACAGGTAGCAGTATATATATTTACAGTTTTAATACATTATATCAGCTAGTTTAGAATGCACTGTTACAGCCATATATATACATATATATATATATATACTGTATGTATATAGTGTGATGCACAGCGGCGTACATACAGGGGTCGCAGCTGCGACCGGGCCCTTTACTCCAGGAGGCCCGGCTGCTCCACAGACCCCTTAGACTGGGTACCTGTCACAATGTGTTGAGGCCCCGGCCCACGCGGATCAGTTTTTGCACCGGGGCCCCATGGATCATGTGTACGCCACTGGTGATGCATATAATGAATTAGTTTAGGTTTAGAGCGAGTCAGATAAATCATCATCTATATGAAACACTTAGTTTTTGCTGAAACTTTGGATTTATGAAAGTTGTTGGATGTAAAACCCAGCCTTAGGCATCGCAGCGTATTTATCCTTCCCCAGGTAAAATTAGATCATTAAAGGATTCATGTATTTAACCTGTGAAGGTAAAACCAGTTACAGTGTCCTTACATAGAAACATGAAAAACTAACTCATTCCCTCACTCATTAACCACTACTATCCCACTGTACAATGAAAGGTGATGCGACGTGTGTATTTATATAAAATGTGGGGTATTAATAATGGTCTTATTGACATGGAACTATCATCCACCCTAACGAATTTCATGCTATACTACGGTAAGTCAATAATAACAGAGGCAAACTAGCATTGAAAACATTGAAAAAGTGATCAAAAAGGAACTGTGTAGGAAGCAAGCCATGGCCTGATTTTTATAATTTTTCTCCTGCAGTTTCTGGGATTTTTGCGGAACGTCCAGCGCCTGTGCGTTTTCACTGTTTTGAATGCACCAAATGGTCTTCAGGTTTCTGTGACTCCAGATTTAAAATGATAGAGAACACATACTTTTTTATCCTTTTCCTCCATTGTGACAGCAAAATATGCACTAATGTGGAAGATGTGAGTAGTCTGTTATTGGTAGGATACCATAAATAACCTTGACACACAGTGTTCTTACAGTGTGGGCATGGTAAGATGAGAGTAATTAGGATTGTAAGAGATCATTTGTTGTGTTTAAGGGACACAGTGTTCATTTACCACTATATATTACATTGTATAGTGATTGACAGCCACTGTAGTCTTGGTGCAGTTTTAGTAAAACTCCAATAATTACATTGCAGGACTAAGACTGCCTCCAGTGGCTGTCAATCAGACAGCCACTAGAAGCACTTCCTGGTGGCTAACTGACTTTTGATCGTTTGACACTGGACATCCTCACGTTCTGCATGAGAACATCCAGCATCAGTACAATCCTCAATGAAAAGTATTCCTATCGGGGGGCCTAATAAGCTCGCGGCAAAGGGAGGTCAGCGCTGGAATGAGGTGAGAAAACTTTTTTTTTTAACCCTGTCAATGGCGGGAGGCGGAAGGGACTGTTTTGTAGGGAATACAACTTTGTATTCCTTACACTAAAGAACCCTTTTAAATGGAAGCATGACTGCTGTGGGTTGGTTAGCACCACCATATTTTTTGTTCCGGTCTATTTCCTGTGCAGTGCGATGTCAGCCGCCATGTCTCGCTACATTCTGACCTGTTGGGGCGCTTAGATGGTTTCCGTTGGCATTGCTACTTGTTGCAGTTTCTGCATTAATAAATGTTTATTAGTAGCAATGATGTACAAAGATTTTTAAAAAATGTAAGACACGACAAGTATGCTATGTAAGTACCCTGCAGAGACCGCTTTGTATTCATTTACAATTATGTTTAAGGAGGAGATAAGCGGTCATCAAGGGTAAGTGAAAGAGAGTTTATTTATTTGTGAAAAGGAGATTTTACATACAGCTGCAGTTTGTTATCATAAGATAAATAATCATTAAATTCTCTTCCTTGAGCGACTGTGCTATGAAATTCAATAAATGTCTTTTAAAAAAAAAAATCTTGATGCTCATTTGACCATTCCGTTTGGCGATAATAATAGTTATGTGAAGCTTGTATTGACCCAGTGAAAAATATCCCCATTTGAGTCCAGCAGGAATAATTCCCCATATTGAGGGACTTCTGAAACAATTGACCTTGATGGAAGTATTTCTTTTTCCAACCTATGTCACTCTGTCTCCATGCATCTGTGAGTCGTCCACTATGCCTCCATTGAAGAGCACAGACTAGGAATGCTATGGACAGCTTGATCTTCTCCTGCAAGATGGTTCACTCAGAGGATTTGATTATATATACATGTCTAAAATATGTTGTTGCTACTGTAAAATAAGAGCAAACAGCATAGGATCTAAAGTTACAGCTGAGGCTGATACACACGTTCAGCTGCCACCATCCACGTGGACCAAATTCTCGGAATTTGTTGTGAAGTGTTTGAGAGGAGAGGAATTGTACGCTGATTCTACGAGGAGGGTTTTGGTTTTACTATGTGACATCCAGTTTTAGACGTTTGACAAGACCGAGCTAAAGAACGCACAATCTTCTCCATACCTCCATGGCAGCCAGAGGGTTAATTTAATTAAGTCCAGATGGCGCAGCTGTGAAGAGCGGCTGTAGAAAGATGGGATGGGCCGGGATCTGGCAAAATTTGACATTCCCTCTTCTCTAAAGAGAATATACATTTTGGCATCTTCTTTTATAAGGTGGCAATTTCAAATGGCAGAAATATAACGCGTCAGGGATGGGATATACAGAGGGTGTTGCTATTATCAATATTTTGTAACACTTATACAGCAACCTCAAATACCTGACTAATCTCTTACACAGTCTAATACATATTCTGATTAATAACTTTGATATTACCAGCTGTGTGACTGGTCCAACCATAGATATAGCCAGCTGCGTGACTGGTCCAACCATAGATATAGCCAGCTGTGTGACTGGTCCAACCATAGATATAGCCAGCTGTGTGACTGGTCCAACCATAGATATAGCCAGCTGTGTGACTGGTCCAACCATAGATATAACCAGCTGTGTGACTGGTCCAACCATAGATATAGCCAGCTGTGTGACTGGTCCAACCATAGATATAGCCAGCTGTGTGACTGGTCCAACCATAGATATAGCCAGCTGCGTGACTGGTCCAACCATAGATATAGCCAGCTGTGTGACTGGTCCAACCATAGATATAGCCAGCTGCGTGACTGGTCCAACCATAGATATAGCCAGCTGCGTGACTGGTCCACCCATAGATATAGCCAGCTGTGTGACTGGTCCAACCATAGATATAACCAGCTGTGTGACTGGTCCAACCATAGATATAGCCAGCTGTGTGACTGGTCCAACCATAGATATAGCCAGCTGTGTGACTGGTCCAACCATAGATATAGCCAGCTGCGTGACTGGTCCAACCATAGATATAGCCAGCTGTGTGACTGGTCCAACCATAGATATAGCCAGCTGTGTGACTGGTCCAACCATAGATATAGCCAGCTGTGTGACTGGTCCAACCATAGATATAGCCAGTTGCGTGACTGGTCCAACCATAGATAAAACCAGCTGCGTGACTGGTCCAACCATAGATATAGCCAGCTGTGTGACTGGTCCAACCATAGATATAGCCAGCTGTGTGACTGGTCCAACCATAGATATTACCAGCTGTGTGACTGTTCCAACCATAGATATGACCAGCTGTGTGACTGTTCCAACCATAGATATTACTGGCTGTGTGACTGGTCCAACCATAGATATTACCAGCTGTGTGACTGGTCCAACCATAGATATCACTAGCTGTGCGACTGGTCGTCTCTGCTCGCCATCAGCCACCCTCATTCCACAGACCTGTCCGCCGCCCACACGCCCATTCCTCTGTGTAGCCTCAGGCAGAGGCGTATTAGCCGCGAGGCTAACTAGGCATTTGCCTTGGGCGGCATTTTTCAGGGGGCGGCAAAAAACTCCGCCCCCCAAATTCCCAGGGCAAATGTGGGAATCAATATTTTGTAACACTTATACAGCAACCTCAAATACCTGACTAATCTCTTACACAGTCTAATACATATTCTGATTAATAACTTTGATATTTCCAGCTGTGTGACTGGTCCAACCATAGATATAGCCAGCTGTGTGACTGGTCCAACCATAGATATAGCCAGCTGTGTGACTGGTCCAACCATAGATATAGCCAGTTGCGTGACTGGTCCAACCATAGATATAACCAGCTGCGTGACTGGTCCAACCATAGATATAGCCAGCTGTGTGACTGGTCCAACCATAGATATAGCCAGCTGTGTGACTGGTCCAACCATAGATATGACCAGCTGTGTGACTGTTCCAACCATAGATATTACTGGCTGTGTGACTGGTCCAACCATAGATATTACCAGCTGTGTGACTGGTCCAACCATAGATATCACTAGCTGTGTGACTGGTCGTCTCTGCTCGCCATCAGCCACCCTCATTCCACAGACCTGTCCGCCGCCCACACGCCCATTCCTCTGTGTAGCCTCAGGCAGAGGCGTATTAGCCGCGAGGCTAACTAGGCATTTGCCTTGGGCGGCATTTTTCAGGGGGCGGCAAAAAACTCCGCCCCCCAAATTCCCAGGGCAAATGTCTAGTTAGCCTCGCGGCTAACAGACATGCCGAGCAGGCGGGCGGCGCTGGCTGATGGTTGGGCGCCGCTAGGCGGGCGGCGCTGGGCGGGCGGCGCTGTGCGGGCGGCTGGCGAGGGAGCTCTTCCTCTGAGCTGACTGCTCAGCTCCCTCGCGCGCTGCAGAGTGAGGCTGGGAGCCGGAATATGACGTCATATACACTATATAAATCCATAGATAGAAGCAGGGCTCGCTCTGTTTATACACTATATAAATCCATAGATAGATAGAAGCAGGGCTCGCTCTGTTTATACACTATATAAATCCATAGATAGATAGAAGCAGGGCTCGCTCTGTTTATACACTATATAAATCCATAGATAGATAGAAGCAGGGCTTGCTCTGTTTATAAATCCATAGATAGAAGCAGGGCTCGCTCTGTTTATAGACTATATAAATCCATAGATAGATAGAAGCAGGGCTCGCTCTGTTTATACACTATATAAATCTATAGATAGATAGAAGCAGGGCTCGCTCTGTTTATGCACTATATAAATCCATAGATAGATAGAAGCAGGACTGGCTCTGTTTATACACTATATAAATCCATAGATAGATAGAAGCAGGGCTCGCTCTGTTTATACACTATATAAATCCATAGACAGAAGCAGGGCTCGCTCTGTTTATACACTATATAAATCCATAGATAGATAGAAGCAGGGCTTGCTCTGTTTATACACTATATAAATCCATAGATAGAAGCAGGGCTCGCTCTGTTTATACACTATATAAATCCATAGATAGATAGAAGCAGGGCTCATTCTGTTTATACACTATATAAATCCATAGATAGATAGAAGCAGGGCTCGCTCTGTTTATACACTATATAAATCCAGATAGAAGCTCGCTCTGTTTATACACTATATAAATCCATAGATAGATAGAAGCAGGGCTCATTCTGTTTATACACTATATAAATCCATAGATAGAAGCAGGGCTCGCTCTGTTTATACACTATATAAATCCATAGATAGATAGAAGCAGGGCTCGTTCTGTTTATACACTATAGAAATCCATAGATAGATAGAAGTAGGGCTCGCTCTGTTTATACACTATAGAAATCCATAGATAGATAGAAGTAGGGCTCGCTCTGTTTATACACTATAGAAATCCATAGATAGATAGAAGCAGGGCTCGCTCTGTTTATACACTATATAAATCTATAGATAGATAGAAGCAGGGCTCGCTCTGTTTATACACTATATAAATCCATAGATTGATAGAAGCAGGACTCGCTCTGTTTATACACTATATAAATCCATAGATAGATAGAAGCAGGGCTCGCTCTGTTTATACACTATATAAATCCATAGACAGAAGCAGGGCTTGCTCTGTTTATACACTATATAAATCCATAGATAGATAGAAGCAGGGCTTGCTCTGTTTATAAATCCATAGATAGAAGCAGGGCTCGCTCTGTTTATAGACTATATAAATCCATAGATAGATAGAAGCAGGGCTCGCTCTGTTTATACACTATATAAATCTATAGATAGATAGAAGCAGGGCTCGCTCTGTTTATACACTATATAAATCCATAGATAGATAGAAGCAGGACTCGCTCTGTTTATACACTATATAAATCCATAGATAGATAGCTCGCTCTGTTTATACACTATATAAATCCATAGATATAGAAGCAGGGCTCGCTCTGTTTATACACTATATAAATCCATAGATAGATAGAAGCAGGGCTCGCTCTGTTTATACACTATATAAATCCATAGATAGATAGAAGCAGGGCTCGCTCTGTTTATACACTATATAAATCCATAGATAGATAGAAGTAGGGCTCGCTCTGTTTATACACTATATAAATCCATAGATAGATAGAAGCAGGGCTCGCTCTGTTTATACACTATATAAATCCATAGATAGATAGAAGCAGGCTCAGCCTGTTTATACACTATATAAATCCATAGATAGAAGTAGGGCTCTGCCTTTTGTTTATACACTATATAAATCCATAGATAGAAGCAGGGCTCGCTCTGTTTATACACTATATAAATCCATAGATAGATAGAAGCAGGGCTCGCTCTGTTTATACATTATATAAATCCATAGATAGATAGAAGCAGGGTTCGCTCTGTTTATACACTATATAAATCCATAGATGGATAGAAGCAGGACTCGCTCTGTTTACACACTATATAAATCCATAGATAGATAGAAGCAGGGCTCGCTCTGTTTATACACTATATAAATCCATAGATAGATAGATAGAAGCAGGGCTCGCTCTGTTTATACACTATATATAAATCCATAGATAGAAGCAGGGCTCGCTCTGTTTATACACTATATATAAATCCATAGATAGAAGCAGGGCTCGCTCTGTTTATACACTATATAAATCCATAGATAGATAGAAGCAGGGCTCGCTCTGTTTATACACTATATAAATCCATAGATAGATAGAAGCAGGGCTCGCTCTGCTTATACACTATATAAATCCATAGATAGATAGAAGCAGGGCTCGCTCTGTTTATACACTATATAAATCCATAGATAGATAGAAGCAGGGCTCGCTCTGTTTATACACTATATAAATCCATAGATAGACAGAAGCAGGGCTCGCTCTGTTTATACACTATATAAATCCATAGATAGATAGAAGCAGGGCTCGCTCTGTTTATACACTATATAAATCCATAGATAGATAGAAGCAGGGCTCGCTCTGTTTATACGCTATATAAATCCATAGATAGATAGAAGCAGGGCTCGCTCTGTTTATACACTATATAAATCCATAGATAGATAGAAGCAGGGCTTGTTCTGTGTATGTGTTATATACATATAAAATAAATATATGTCCATAGATAATACTTTATTTCAGAACATACCAGTTACCTTCCATTTTGACAACAAGAGCTTATTGTTATGGAATTTATTCTGCATCCCCTAGACTGGACATTGACAGACACTGTGACATGGTTTATTTAGCTGCACATTGGTGTCTGTTGTAAAAAGGGTTAATTAGAATTACCCCAGGGTTCGCATTACATAGCAGTATTTCTTGTATTAAGGGTGAGTTGAAGGTGAGGCAGTGTTTTTACCCATGATGCACTTGCACTAGCTTGCGCCGGTCGCACGCAGGTTAAACAGTCACGCAGCTTTGTTCTCTCACTTTATATACCGTCATTCATGTATGTATAATTATATATAGCTAGAAATAAATGTTATAGAGTGGAAGGCCAGGGTGGGAAATTCCATTATGGCTGGAAGCCCATGGCAGGTAGAGTGGAATTTAATGAAGGAAACTGCTGTGTTTTTGTGTCTTTCGGTATGTTTTTCCTTTAAAACCTAGAGCTGGGCAGGCTTCCCACTCGACCTGACATGACCCAGTAAACTGCTTCTTATAGAAAAACAAGCATGCTGGGCCGCAGCGACTGACACAGAGTGTTCTGCGCAGGGGACTCAGCGCCCCCCTCCTTACACTGAAACACCAATATCTGTCTCTCTTAATTTCACACCAAGGGCAAGGGGCTGATCCATCACCCCGCCAGCACTCAAAGGGTGAAAAAATGTATATTAACTCCGTATCCTCCCTGTGTCCGTCTCCTGATTGTCACAACACTGGCTCCTGTCACATCGCTCCGTCTAACGGGCTGTTTCCGCTGCATTCATAATGTATTTATATCAGGACCAGCTGGGTGGGAATCTTTAACTCTTTAATAGACAAATCGTTTTTCACCACACTGATTCGCAAAGCAATCTTTTTTTTTTTTTATTTACTTCCATGGCTTTGTTTACATGCTTATTCTGTAGTAAATGTTCTGACTGTATAAGTCTCTCTCGATGACAAAAATTCAGTTTTCGGTCTATTTCATAGTTTTTTGACTTCCATTGAGTTCTATCACCCTTTGACGCTAGCTATCATTTTTCTAATACACGCGCATGTCCGCAGAGGTCACAAACACGCATGTTCCCCGCTATGGCATTCCGATGTTTTTGTGCCCCTTAGAGGGGGAGGGAAAGAGTGTATGAGAGATGCATGTGTACCGCATGTAAAATTATCTCTGCAGCTGTGTACAGTACATTAACCCCATTCGCTGCCGGCAGCCCCTCTAGCACCGAGCATGTGTAGAGAGCTGATTACAGAGTTTTGGAGGTAGTGTGTCGCTAAGGCAAAGTTTACATGGAACCTATGTCATATATTATATCATGGTGGCTGGAGTCACCTGCTCC